CCCCAAAACCCCAAAACCCCAAAACCCCAAAACCCCAAAACCCCTTTTAGGGGAAATAAAATAGGAAAAATAAATAAAAAATTGATTTACAAAATATGGGTAAACCAAACATTGTTGTCTGCTTTTTGTTGCTGGTTTGAGCAGTAATTGCCAAGGAAAGACTCGAATTTGTGTTCCAATACAATAGCGCAGCTGAAAGAACTCCTCTGTACAAAGATCAGTATTTCAATATTACTAAAAACAATTATGGGCAAGGACCAAACATGATTACTTTGACAGGGCTCAGGAATTCTTTTAACCAGGGAGAAAAGTTTAGATCTCATTATACAAATGATCATCCATACTTCCTGTCTCCACGCTATGATCCAACAGAGTATTTCATCAGGACCTTCACTGATAACCCCAGTATCATGAGTGCTTACTCCTTCATGCTTGGAGCACATCCAGAACAAGTTGAAGGACTCGGATTGATCAGAGAAAGTGATGACAAGCCTCCTCTGCAAGATGCCCATATTGACGATGCTAGAAGAGCTCTTTACCTTGACAGACCAGAGGACAAAGCAAAGCCAATATATATCCATACTGGGAATGCAGACGGATTCTTCTTCAGAAACATCAAGAAAATGTATCCTGGACTTGAAAAAGACTTCAATGAAAACATGAAGAGAGCTTCTTCAGAGTTCGAATCCAGATATGGAGATGAACTCTATAAGAGACTTGCCTTCTCTATGGGAAGGAACATCGGAGACTTGAACTTTGACAGTGTTGCTCAGTTCCTAGATGATTACATTTCCGCATTTGCTAATGGAAAATCCACCAGTCCGTTTAATTTCAATGAAGATACAATGGATCTTATCAGTAGATACTATTACTTCTTGATTCATCAAGGGCTGCTCAGAGATCCAGCCTTGAACAAAGTTATTGCTCATCCATTCTTATACTCCCTTTTGAGAGAGATTCTCTTCAAAGCTCAAGATTACACAGATATTGCCAGATGGGAGGGCCCATGCGTCACTAGCAAGGTATCCTTAGCTTTTGGTAATAGATTGACCTACCTCGCTGCTTTGAGAACTCTGGACCTCGATGATGATGTGACTTACAACCCTGGATGGGGAGATCAACTTACCTTCGAGCTCTACCAAGAAGCAGGTGAATGGTTTGTTAGAATCTACAACAATAATGAATTAGTAAGGTCCATCTCAAGAGATGGAAAAATCCCCCTGGAGCAATTCAAAACCTACGTTTGCACCAGACTTTACTACGGAGACATGGATGCTGTTGAAGCTGGCTATGAGGATTATCACAAAAAAGCTCAGATCAAAGGAAACCAATGCAAGAGCTTAACTCAGGTGGTCCCACTCTTTGGATGCACCTTGAAGAAGGAATATAATTATGATCAGAGTGGAAGAAGTGACCTCGGATGGACACAAAATGAGCTAAGAAAGAACGATAACTTTAGACAATATGGAGGAAGAGCTCCTACTGATGATTCTCTGTACTTTATTAAAGCTAAACAGAACTCTGGATATTCTTACTCTTATAATTACGGAACTAATTCAAATGGATATGCAAACACTGAAGATAACTTGATGGCTAATAATGCAGCAGGCGGATACGATACTAATTTCTATGGAGGCAACAATGGATATCAATACTCATACAACTCAGGAGACAGCTACCAAAACAACAGAAATATCTATAGTGATTCTTATGGCTCAGGTACTTTGATTTTTAATATCTAACATAGATAATATGAAAACCTATGGTACACACTCAGACACGAGAAATCAGCAGGGCAATGATTTCTACAGTGCAAACCAAGGAAACTATGTTGTTGCCCAACCAAACACTAACCAGAACAATTATTACTCCAACAACTACGCCAACAACCAGAAGACTATCCCAGTGACTGTAGAGCATCAGACTGCTAAATACGTCGTTGAAGAACAATGTGATTTACTCACACCTGTTCCTCCTTGAAAGAAGGAATTCAACTTATTCAGAGCTAATCCAGTCGTGGTGAAGCAGAGACAGAGCCAGACTCAGACTGTCGCACCTGTTCAGAATCAGAACTATAACACACAGTACTCCTACAATGTTCGTAAGTTGCATTAATCCAGCCTGATGTTTTAACTGGAATAAGCTTGCTAATTGGTGCCTAGACCAATCGAGTTTTCTCAAATTAGTTTGGTTTTTACATAAATTTCTGTAATTTAAAGTTTTGCCTTGGCTTAACTAAAGTCACGATTTGGTGATTGGTTGGGAGAATCACAATTAGGCATGAATTTGGTCAAATATTGGACGGATAGTCTTAAAGTACTTGTATAGAGCTTGATCCTGTAATTCAGCCTGTGCAATACAATCAGCAAAATCAGAACACGAATGGCTATAGGTATTAGTTAAGAACTCAATTGACTGGAGCATCTCTGGGGTTTTGGGGTTTTGGGGTTTTGGGGTTTTGGGG